AGACCCAGAACAAGATCTGATTGGTTGCTTTCTTTTCTAACACAAAACCACTGAAATGCGTAGTGCATGGTTCGAGAAGGACAAACCAATCAACGTAACACTGTAATATTACAGATCAACAACACAGATACCATTCTCATTATTCATTTTATATACATTTTATTACATTTTATTTATATAATTAAATCGATTTTTTGTTTGTTTTATCTGAGTGTTCCAGGGTATTCTCTGAATACCTTGAAGGCCCTGACGGTTCGCCACTGGTGTGTGTGTGTGTGTGTGTGTGTGTGTGTGTGTGTGTGTGTGTGTGTGTGTGTGTGTGTGTGTGTGTGTGTGTGTGTGTGTGTGTGTGTGTGTGTGTGTGTGTGTGTGTGTGTGTGTGTGTGTGTGTGTGTGAATGAATGGCTGGCTATAAGAGAAGCTGAGAGATGAGCAGACTGAGTTTGGGTCGATGCAGCAGCAGAAGAAAGATTGGCATTGACTTTTGTGCCGTGCTGACGCTCGTCTCCTATTGGCCATCTTTCCTCTCATCTAGATCAACTCATCTGAGCATCGATCGTCTCGGCCCGCTGCACGAAGCTTTAGCAAAGCACATTTAAGAGCCAGCTTTATTGTTTACGTCCCTGTAACAGTGTTGATCCAACCGGCCCCAGTGGGCAGCGCTGCGTCACATGATGGTGCAACGTGATGTGGAGCCTCTCATTTTAATATGTGGACATGTTGTCAGAGGACTGATGCCTCTCTGATCAGTAGAGAGCTGTTGTCATGAATGTGAGGGTGGCGTGTTTGCCATTTAAAAGTCTTTTTGACTGAGTTACACAGAAACAGCGTTATTAACGACTTCCTCTCTTCCCCTAAAAGACCCTCATTATTACCTCTCCTTCAGTTGAGAGCGAAAGGTCAGTCCTGGACCTGCAGGATACATCTGGGCAGTGGAGTGAATTAACTGAGCATTACTGCCGTTGAGATGCCCTTGAGCAAGGCAATTAACCTGCAGCTGCTCCGGAGGAACAGACGGGGCTGCAGCCTCAACATGTGGATGTGTGATTAAGAGTGAACACACTGAGTATGTTGGCCCCCCCACCTCCCTGTTGCAGTTTGAATTCAGATGTTCCATAAAGCTCACAGTGACCTGGATTATAGAACATTCTGACACCGTTAACAGAAACTGAGGATGCAACATTGAGATGCAGTTTTTTATGGAAAATATAATTTAAAGTTAACTTTTTGTATGGTGTGTCATTCAACCATTACTTTCATTTGATATTTCTATTTATGCATTTATAAACCTTTTTATAGGGCATTTGCGATGTGTCCTCTTGCTGAGGACAGGTTACATCAAATGCCATAACTTGCGAGAGTGCTGATATATTTTGAACTTTCATTCATCAGAACTAGAATCAGTATTCCTATATCAGTCCCTCAGCGGGGCGATGTAGTGTTGCAGCAGAAGTGGCATCGCAGGTCAAAAAGAACTCACTCACTCTCTCTCCACACATGCACATGCCACACACCTACCCCCCCTCTTCTCTCTCTTAAAGGGATAGGCTTCCCTAGTCTGCACTATCCTACAATTATAAACAGAATAACATCGGCAATCGGCATCGGCAAAATTGTGACTCTAAACATCGCCATCATTATTGGCTGAAAAATGTGACATCGGTGCATCTCTAGTATTGAGACTCAACATGTTGCACAGTAGTAGCTGTGTGGGCCCAAGTTATCCATGTATTGCATAAAGTTGTATGTATTCAAATAGTTTCATACATTCATAGTCATTGGGATTAATGTTGATTAATACGAGTGGACAGGGCGGTGATGGTGAGCGAGAGAAACCATCTCCTTTCTCTTTCCTTTTTTTATTAGAATTCCAGCCTTGGTAAAGAAGTTATATTTTCACTGTTATCCACGTTTATAAAGCCCAGATGAACCCGATAAGAGCTCAGGGGCAGAGTATGCGCTTATAGCAGTCCGCTGTACAGAAACTGTAGTTTGCCCACAGCAGCAGATCCGTGACACCCTCTGCTGCATCATTATCACATCACACAGTGGGAGTGCAGTCAGATTCTCTTAGCACTGCGGCCGTCTGTCACCTAGTCCTGATGAATCCTCCTTCACGTCTTTCCTTAACCCCATGACGTTTTCACTGAGGTTGAGGAATAGTGGTTTGGAGAACCATGGGTCCTGTTTTTTTTTTACTATTCGACCGTAGCCATGGTCTTCCTCCACTGCTAGCTACACAGACTACAGTTATGTCAAAAGAGAAAGTCACGAGGAGCAGCTGCTGAATAAAAGGCCTTCTCTCTCTGAAAAGCTATTTTTCAGAGTAGATGCAAATGAAAAGTATATACCCTAACCTGCTAGTACGGATGGTATCAAATGGAAAATTATGTCAATGATTAGCCTGGCCAGGTTTTGTCTTGGTAGCACTTATTTTAAATATGTATGTGGCTTTTTACTTAATAGAGGAGTTGTCGATATCTATGTTCATTTTGTTCATTTACATTTTTTGCCTTCTTAAAATGGTGGTTTGATCAATGTGTTGGTACAGCGGCAGTGGTGTGGGCATTGGACGTGGGGGGGGTACGCCGCACCCCCACTTATTTGAAGCATGATTTTTTTTAATAGTCTAATAAATATAAAGTCATTGCCAGTGTTATCAGTTGCAAGTGTGTATTTGTTGTAATAATGACGAAAACATAATAGGCAGATTTCACAGTAATTATAATAAAAACGTAGTTCAAGCATTTATGCAACTTGATTTGAAGCGTGTGTGTGTGAGGGGCAGCACCGTGTGTGTGTGTGTGTGTAGGGTGACCAGGTGTCGCTCACTGTGCTGTCTGCACACACAGACAGCATTTTTATTATTTGTCCCGCGTCCCACAAATTGAGACTATGTCCCGCATTTGAGTGACAGACAGTCGCGCAGAAAGGCCGGATCGGTTCGCTCACTTCGCTGACAGC